GCTGCACTCATTTTCATACAAAAATGTAACACTCTGCGCAAGGATACCGTCACCATACAAGTCGACTGGAATGATGCTCGAAAAAACGGACTATGCCTTAGTGTATCAATTATTAATAGTCATGTGGAATAATAACTACAATTGCTTGAATGAAAGGGCGGCTATTCAGATCGATGATCAGTATCAACACCATGATATATTGAATCGCCATTAAATGTGTAATTGTTTGCCGCATATTTGGCTACGATCAATCGAATGAAAGTATTGATTGAACCAACATTATGCTGAAAAAATGCGACAAAAAGCGCATTCAAACACATGATGAACAATAATTAACGATGTGGGAAAAAATCAAGCACCGGTTCGGACATAGAAATATGTTTACCTAGATGTTCTATACTGTATAAATATGCAAAGCATAGACGCATACGGACGACCGTGCGACGGACGTATCACTAGAGCCATCGTTGTTTGCTATATACTGTATTCATACACACACGTCTCGCAATGCACGATCACCCGTTGATACGTTCGTCGCACGGTCGTCCGTACGCGTCTATGCTTTGCATATTTATCTTGCATATTTCTATATCCGAACCGGTGCTTGGAAAAAGAAGAGGAAAAAAACCCAACAAACATATGTAAAAAACACCTTCTTTTTTTAAAAGAAGACCTTTTTTTCTGTTTCAGTGATTGAGAGAAATTTCTAAGATCTTTTATTGTAAGGTGAGATTTTGGTTAGACAGCAGCTGCCTGATATTATCTTCAGACTTTATTACATTTTCATCACATTTAAATTCAATGGTAAAAAATTTAAAATGATAAAGTCGCTTGTACTTATTCAACCTTGACTTGTTTCGACCAATTCAAAAATTCAATCGAATTGATTTTTCGTTGACACATGTGTTTTGAATAGTGATAAAAATTAGCCCAACTTTGGGATATGTTGTAGAAACCAAGGGCATATTCATTATGTCGATTTAATAACAGGTCTGTCGCATGTGGCTAGTCGCTTTGATTTCAACAGAATTTAAATTTCTCACCATTTTCATTATGTTACTTTGGGTAATGGAGTCAAAATACCTCCCTGTGTAAAATGAACATATTTTTATATTTGGAATTCCGTTTTTGGACTTCTTTTTCACAAAAGTTGAACCAAATTACCGAGTATAATTTAAAACTTCTTGCCAAACATCGATAGAGCCTTGAATTTTTAACCATAATTTGAATAGTTTCCGACTAAATCAATTTTAAATTGGTCAAACATTTATACGCCTGATGTAATTTCACCGCTATTTTATTCCTACTTCTATCAATCATATGTGATACAAAAATTAGGCCAGGATTCAAAGCGTCTCTTTTCTCTCTTCATCAAACGTGAAATAACGAAAGAATTCGTATCCACTATTTCATATTGGAAGACTTTAATTTCATATGTTCTCTTTCTGATTGAAATTACATTCTTTTTTCCATCGGATCAATTTTTTTCGAAACATTCAATCGATTTTTACTGAGAAGTGTATGGATTACAGAGTGATATACATATATGTATAATGCGCTACAGGCTACACATTGCAATCCATTTTTCGTTACATTTGTAACCAGATATAACCGCTAGGATTATTAACTGCTACTTCTCTGAAAAATGTTCATCTTCGTTCATTTTTTGATTAAACACGAACCTGTTCCGTTCAATTTCTTTATTTTGATCCGAAAAAATGATTTAGAGTTGAGAGAAACCCATTTTATGCCGAGAAGCTTACGAAAAATTGACATTATGGTCACCTTGTGTTTTGTCAATATTTTTTCTTCCATTCAATCGACAGATCTTGATCCAACGAAATTTTTGAACGAAGAGACACAAACATATATTGTTGAAATTTTGGGAAAAAAATTCCGAACATTTTTTCAAACGTTATGTTTTCTTATGCAATATTTTTATTCAATTTTGTTGAGAGCCCAATGATGTGAATGTTTCTTCACGAAAATGTTCGCATTGAATGGAGAATTTATGTCAGAATAAGAAGTAAATCCAATTGTTTTATTAAATTTCATAAATACTGTTCATAAATACTGTTAACACACACACACACACACACGCACAGAGCAAGAGTTGAAATTATGAATTTTTTTTCAATAACTAAAACGGAAAAAATTTGAGCAAAAAAGACAAATAAAGTCGCGGGTAAAAGTGACACAACTCAGCATTAAGCAGAAAAAACATATTTTTATTTTTCTCGTTACTGTAAAAACGTAACGATTAGGTGTCTGAAGCATTATTTTGGAACATTAAAAGTACCTCAAATATGCTGCCTAATCGCTATCTCCTTCCAGAAGTGATAATAATGCAAAAAAAACGTCTTTTCCGCCCAATGCTGAGTCACTTTTGGTCGTAACATTTTTTGTTTCTTTCTTGCTCTAAGTTTTATCCGTTTCAATTATTCAATCAGTTTTGTCAGTCTATCTTTTGCTTTCATGATTATACATAGGTCAGCAAAATGAATGTAAACACTAGGGGAATATCACGCTTAAATTATTTCAAATATTTCAAAAAAATCCAATTTATCTCTAAGAATCTGTCGTATGAAATATGGTGGATATTTGTGAATACGGCGGAGTATTGTGGATTTTTGTGATTATGAATGATATTTAAATGTATTTATTCGGATTTAATGCAAAAAATCTCAAATATCTCCAAAATCCACAAAAATCTGATTTATTTATTCGAAATAATCGAAAATATGTCATACAACTAATGTTTATTTCACATATCTCAAATATCTCACAAGATTCAGGAGCGTGATATTCCCCTAGTGTAAACACGATTTAACGTAAACAACCTTATTTACTGTTGAAGCGATGAATCAGAATAATCCACTCATTTTCAAATCCAATTCCAAGTAAAACATAACGCAATTTTGATTCAACATTGGTGTAATCTAAAGAAAGAGAAACAAACTTTTTTCATTCTATTAACCTAAATACAGACTCATTTGTGATAATTTCATTGAGATGAAGGCACGGATCGACATTTTACTTTCACTTTTAGTCAATGTCAAAGTGATTTCTCGTTTGGGTGGAGCTGACAAAAAGAAGGAGCAGAAGGACATTCCAAAATATAAAAATAGAAAATAATAATTAAAAAATTGTTTCTCACATTGACAAGGAAAACAATTGAGAATACTTCAAAAAATTTTATGTTGACAATTCACCTACACGTAATGGATATCTTCTTATTTTCATGCATTTAACGAAACCATGTTTTTTTTCCTTTACAACAAAGATAAATAAATCAATTTATTGAAAACACTAATAAACGCCTTGTTTCTCCAATGTTTCGATAGATAATTGTATACCTAGCTAACTGCCATTCTCCATGTGAAATATATAATTTGGTTCCGTCCGTATCGAATAAGTGGGACGAAATCGGACGATGAAATTTCACTTAGACGGCTCTTACATCAATTGTGCTAGTCAATCCAACGCGACAAATCCCCAGCCAAACTTTCTTTCAGTATCATTTGAACACCCAATCGAAACAGACTGTGAAATCAAGCATATAATCATTTCCAGTTAACACAAAAAGTGATAAGTTCATTTTCCACTCAATTTACTTTACTTTGTTTGATGATAACTATGAATGGTTATTGAGAAACGGAATCAAGTTGTTATTTTTTCGGGAGGAAACAAGTGATTTTTCAGCAATTTTTCTAAAAAAAAACAATATATTTTTAAAAAATACTCAAGCAAAATTGGTGGTGCAGTGAAAATTAGAATTCTTCTATTTCAAAATAAAACTTTATCATTGGAAAAATTCTTCGCTAAATTGCGTGTACAAACATTCTTGAGAATGCATTTTCCGAAATTAAATTATAAGGCAACACTTATTGTGAGTGCTTGTTTGCTTGCATTTGGCATTGGATTTGGATTTTTTGCATTTCCAAAATTATTGAAGAAAATGGTCACAGGCGTAAGTAGTTTGGAATAATGTATCGTTGCTCAATTCGATTTTCGTGTCCCTTTTCCCCGTCATTTCAATGGCAAATCATGCAGCTCATAAAATAGTAACAGTCATTCCATTAAAAAGAACATAAAAATTGTGTAGTTTCTAATCTAGGGACTCTTATGTCGGTTTGGTATTCGAATTTTTATTCATCAATTCGCGCTCAGTGCCATGCATTCGCAACGCTGCCGTATGATTTCTATGTAAACATTCGCAGCATTCGCGAGAGATAAATTCCCCTAGTTTCCAATTCATAATCAATTCCAACGCATCAACTATGAATTACTAATGTGAACAAAACATATTTATCATGTTACATGATTCATGTAACTTTTTCCAAAAAAAAAAAATTATCGAAAAAGATCGCACGCAATTTAAAGAGAAACTACCTATTTTTCATATGATTTATAGCAAATAAACGTTGCACCAGGATCAACCATAAGACCTCTCTACGAAAAAGCACCGTTTTTCATTGATTTTCGTGTTCGTCTGTTTAATGTGACAAATAAAGAGGAAATAATTGAAGGAAGTGAGTGGATTTTGTGAAAACTATAAATTTTATTTCAATTTTACAATTCCAGTGGAAATATTTTAATGAAAAAAAAAAAACATTTTCTTTCCTCCTTAAAATTAATGCATAGAAAAACCAAAATTACAAGAGGTATGATTGTATTCGATTATCTTAGAAGAAATCGTCAATTTATTATTTTTGTGTGTTATCACGGATTTTATTTCATTTTAATTTCGTCTTTTCTTTTTCACTCTCTCTCTCTCTCTCTCTCTCTCTCTCTCCCTCCCTCTCCTGTTCGTACTGCTGTGTGCGGAAAAAGATTGGGCCGTATTTTTTTGAGTAAGACCGAAAAAACTGCTATCATATTTGTTTATTTTGAATCAAATTTTTTGATTTGTTCTGCTTAATCCGGATTCCATAGCTGTTTTTATCGCCATACCATTCAAAATTGATTTTAATCTATAATTGTGTAATTATAACGATAAAAATAGGGAATGGAAGGAAAAGTTTGAAATGGTTGACGATGATGCGGAGGATACGGTTACCTATCATTATCGCAATAAGTTTATATTTCGTCCAGATTTAAGTGATGGTTTAACTGGCGACGAAATCATTACAATGCCTCATCCATGTAAATATCTGTGATTTACTTATGAAATGTTCTAGTTTAAATGTTCATTTCTAAATTTCTAATTAATATTTGTGTTTTCGACATTATTTTAAACCAAAATTAGTGATAATGGGCATGCTAATGGCTGTGAACGTCGACAAACAAGCAATGCTACCAACAATTGAAGGCGTTCTTAAGAATTTGTTCCACGATCCAGCTGATGCCTTTTACACGGGACGAGTTATGGATCTTCTCTTCGATGGTGTTGGCGTTGATTGTTCATCGGATGACAAAACTACCATCGCAATTTGCATGTCATTCGATAGTAACAAAGCACTTCGCAAAATTGACGATCAACATTATGCATTCTCACTATTCGGTGGTGTAAGTAGAACAATTTGTTGATACAACAGTTTTTCTGTATACCTATATTTAAATAGGCCATCATAGAATTCAATTACTTCAATTTGAAAAGTTCAAATTCAATTATTCATTTTCAAAGAAGGACGCAAATGAGTGAATTCTCCCTTACAATATAAATGCGTAGTTCAATTCCTTCAGTAGCGACTTTCGGTGTTCTTATCACTATTTTATGTTTCGAGTTAAATCCTCCTGGTAAAGGTAAATTTAGTTCAAATTCTGTTCAATGACAGTATGCCTCGTCGAAAGTAAATAATTAAACGAATTATATATTATTAATAATACTAACACAAATCTCTACCGACGAAGTTTTAACAAAAAGGACATTTAAATATTCATCAAATTAAAATAATGTCAAAATTGATATTTTACACGTTGAACGATGGGCGTTGAGCACACTACCAACACTTCTCTTTCTTTGTATGTTAAAAATTCATATGATAGAGATCTAAATGAGAAAGACATTAGAATATCGTTTTAGGGATTAATACCTTCTGTCCGGAAAGTACCCGGAATTCATAATTTTAGCCGCTCCAGGTATAGGTATCGTGTAAAGTATTTTTTTCCTGAGTTGGTACTACCTTAACAAACATCTCAGCCAAATTTGAGCTCAATGTGTCAAGTAGTGTGGATGTGGCAAAGGTATAAGTGATACCTCCAAAGGTACACTCGGCGAATTCCTCTTTTTGCGATAAAATCAACTAAAAATGATATTTTTATAGGTAACCTGAAGCGGCTAAAATTATGAATTCCGGGTACTTTCCGGACAGAAGGTATAATAAACAATACGATTACAATTGCGTTGATGATTCTTTATCAAACGCTTTTCAGTTAATGAAAATTGAAGAATTACATAAAAATATTTGGCAATTACACCGAAATTATCAAAAAAACATTGAAAATCTTCAGTACAATAACCAATACCACTTTCGTGCAATGAAATTTTTATCATAAATCTCATTCATTCATAATGTGTATCGTACTAGGTGGGTTCACATTGTTCTTTTCTCGCCCAATTCCAATCCATCGATTAGTGAGTTTTAATTCTTCCGTTAAGATTGAATAAACCAGCTTTGGTTTCAAAAAGGCATTTACACATTCAAGCATTTTTCCCATGTTGATTATTCATCAGCCCAGTAATAATGGAAATGACATAGTCAAGTGATTGGTTTTTAGGGAAATTGATACATTGATATTAATAATTCAATTATTACGCATGAATAACCAAATTGAAAAACCATTCGATATATTGTTTTTAGACTAATTACACCGATTTGGGTGAATTCAAAGTGTACCGTGGTAAAAAGAACTATAGAGATTTAGGTCGTGTCATATCATTCAACGGTGAAACAGGTGAACAAATCGCTTTTCAATGGAATATTTAAAATATAATTTGAAAATTACTTAGTTTCTGAACTCCCCTTATTCCATAGAAATGAATGCGTGGGATGAAGATGAATGTAATACGTACGTTGGAACTGATTCAACCATTTTCCCAGCATTTATGTCCAAAGAAGAAGGTTCGTTGCTTTACAATGTTAACAAATGATTGAATGATTCGTTTTTTTTTTAAACCTTGATATCGTTAACTTTTATGATTCAACTTTGTTTTCACAGGAATTTGGGCATATGAACCGTCGATTTGTCGGTCACTTGGAGCATCGTATCGGTCTAAATCCAAATACAATGGCCTTCCAGTATTGGTCTATGAAATGGACATGGGAGAAGATATCAATATTAAGCAATGCTTCTGTCGTGACGAGGACAACTGTCCACCGAAAGGAACAATCGATTTGTTCAAATGCGGCGGCGTACCGATGATTGCCTCTTTACCTCATTTCTATTTGGCTGATCCAAAACTGCTGGAAGGAATCGATTCCGGCCTGAATCCAACCAAAGAAAAACACGGAATTTCCATGCTCTTTGAAATTGTAAGAATCATTTGATAATATGCTACATCATGTGCTCTACATCAAAACATCTAAACCACATATATATTTCTACCTTTAAACACAAATTGAATATTGAGACGTCAGAACACCTCATTTATTTGACACCCTATCAATTTCAAACAGATGACCGGTAGCCCGTTGAAAGCAGCAAAGCGTTTGCAATTCAGTTTGGAGGTGAAATCCATTCCACAAGTTGAAATGGTAAAAAATGTCCCAGATGTGATTTTCCCACTGTTTTGGGTAGAAGAAGGAGTCAGTCTGGGTCGTGAATTTACCGATAAAATGAAAAACAGCTTATTTTTGTGAGTTCTACCTTCGAAAACTTTAAATTGCTTTGACTTTTTCTATCAAACATAATTCTCTTCTTTAGAATGATAAAAATTGTCAAAGTTGTCAAGTGGCTGTGTATCGTCATCGGTGCTTTGGGAGGGTAAAATTATTATTAAATGAACTATGAATTATTAAGATTTTTTTTCTAATTCGATAATCTCCGTTCGCTTTCTTTTGATAGCATTCTGTCTGGTGTAATGATGGTTATGAGTAGCCAAAGCAACAACAAGGTTACAATGCCAAATGGCCGTTGAGGACACGTGCCCATACCCATACAACGGAGCTTTGGATTCCGTTAGACGGAGTAATTAAAAATTTATGATATCGTAATTGTTGAAAACAAACCACCGTTCTAAAAAGTAAGTGCTGCACTTACCCGAGAAGGTCGTCTCTGTCTTGTAGACATCACATCACCTCTCGAACAAATTTTTCGTTGCGTAAAGCCAGCGTCTTATAATTAATGTTCAATGAATTTTATCACACACAATTGAAATGTTCGTTTTTTTTTTTTTATTGTTTGTTGTTGTTCTGTTTCATACATTCATAACATCAGAGACCCTAAAGCACTAGAAAAATAAATAACTTCAATCTAAAACGTAAATAAATAATTTAAATAAATAAATTATCGTTGTGTTCGTAGTCGTTTAAATACACGTTACATCTAAATCTAGTTGTTTTTTTGTTGTTCTTGTTGCGAAAAAAAGCATATATTACCTATCAATTCAAATGATTTCTCTCTCATAACTACGATACATACACAAATTGGATTTTGGATTAAGACACGGACACAACGCATTTTCAATATTGTTATTTAAAAAAAACATCTGAATCTGATTAAATTTTCGGTTAATTTCTCAGGTGAGAATGATAGAAATTTCAAGGTCCATGAAATAGTTTTTTCTACCACGAATCCAATAATCAATATATAGAAAATCTAACCGTATATAATTTTATATCAGATGTTTCATGTTTGAAAAGTTTTGTTCGTGCCAACAAATGAAATTGTTTTTTTTTCATGGAATATTATACTCCACCCAGGCAGAGCATATATTTGAGTCATTATATTTTTGTCACAAAATAAATTAAATTGTTATTAAATCATTTTTTTCGTGTGTTTGTTTTTAAATATGTTAATTTATATTCTCTTAAATCTGACCCCTAGAGCATCGTTTATTGGTTCGGTTTTTGCTCCATATATTTATTGATTATCGCTACATTCTGTGTAGAGTTCTCGGCAGTTTCCACCTTGCCGACCACGTCGGCCAGCTTCATAGAATTTTTCGAAAGCATTGCCTGTTGTTCGCTCCAATACAAAGCTGGTGGCATAGCTGCAAAGATTGAATAAATTTGAAGAAAACATTAATTTAAAAAATAAATCAAAGAAAAAAATTGAGAAGGAATTAAAAAAAAGACGGCAATTCAATAAGAAGAAAAGATTGATTGACAAGAATGATTGACCGATTCATTCACTCACCTTCCCATTTGGCAGAAGATGCTGTTTCCGCCGATGTCATTGTTACATTCCGTGTTTGCTTCGCACATATACTTTTCCATGCACTTCTCCGATGCGTTGCCAGTGGTTTTTACATAACCTTTGAGCATGGTAATCGAGGCAATACCCAAATCGCTAACGCTGTCTTTTCGGCCATTTGAACGGGCGGTCAATGATCGGTGCGAGAATGATGTTTTCAATGCATCCAAAAGATTAACAACAATGTTGATGAATTCACCGGCTTGTTTGGCCATAATGTTCACTTGGTCTGGATCTTTAGCGCCCAACACACCTTGGAATACGGCAGCCAAAATGCTCTACAAAGTCGGCAAAAGTGAAAAGAATTTGATTTGTTATTCGACTCATAGCTTTTTCTTCTATTCAAATTGAATACAAATATTTCGAATGAGAAAACAAACCTGCATTGGTGACACATTGCCATTGTCAACTTTGTCGATACCATCGGCACCACCGCCGCCTCCTCCTAAAAGAGTGGTAATGATTTTCAAACCTATAAAAAAGACAGAAGCACTTTTAGAAAAACCCAAACATCGAGCTCAAGCGACGTAAATGCCCAAAGAAAGTAAAACAGAAAATAAAATCGAGATCTGGCACAACAAAAGAGATAATTTTTTTTCCAGTATCCAGCGCAAAATGAAAGTTTTGCCAAAAACATTTGAAGCTCATGAAGAAAATAAAAACGATCTAAATATGTTTACGCCGCGCACACAGAAAAAAGAAAGAAAAGAGAAAAAAGCGAGTTAAGCGTTTGTAATCGATTTTAATTGAATGAAACGCACTTTGAGAATGTTGCCATTTGCGTTTTGTGCGGCAGCATGGAAATTTCGTGAGAATAAATAATTGAATTCCCTCGCATTGGGTCGAAAATGAGAGAAGAGTTTCACTAAAATTCAGCAGCAGCCGCAGCATCGTTTGTTCGTAATTAAATTGCTCGTCGTTATTCTTTCTTGTGCTTGTTTGTCTGCGGTTCACATACGTTTCTTACTCTTTCTCTCTCTCTCTCTCTCTCTCTCTCTCTCTCTCTCTCTCTCTCTCTCTCTCTCTCTCTCTCTTTCTCTCTCTCTCTCTCCCTGCGTTTTTTCTTTCTTTCTGTTTGGATGATCGTTTGCTGTATGAATTATGAAGATAGATTGCCATCGCTGGCAGACATTTGTAATGACTCTCTTAATGGTTGCTTTGTTTTTTTTCTTGTCTTTCATATTATTTGGTTGTTGAATGAATAATAAGCGTACGAGAAACGAATATGTGTCACATGAATAGAATTTAAAAATGTTTGCTGGAATTCTTTAAGTGGTAAACGGTCTAACTTGCTTGGATTAACCGTTGTTTCTCTCTTTTCGTTCACAAAAACAACAACCCGTGTGAAAACGAATTCACAAATCGTACAGCGATTGAGATGGTATGCAGGTGGGTATGGTTAAAATCTCTACTGTTTTGTTTTTTGCATGGTGGATCGATATGGTCGATGGTAACGGGTAAGCAAGTCGTGATCAACGTTTTAGTGAAAACGAAAGAAATGTGTTCAAGTGAAAAGAACGACGAGGCGAACGAATACCAGAATAAAATAAACAATTTGGCAGCGAAACGAGACGAAATTCGTTCGAAGACGGTAATGCTTTAACGTATTTTCCGCATGTCGACAATAACCAATGAATATATTTGAGCGCGGGCGCGACCGAGAAATTCGGTTCTTTCGTGATCGAAGCATTCGAATTGATTTTGTGCAAACAATCTGCGCCCAAAGTAGCGCATCGCACAAGAACAAATACCATGGTACGTACACACGTATTCAAATGACACAGATAGCGGTTACTTGATATGTGGATACACATGAAACGCCTAAACGCTACTTTGAAATTTGATACTAACAATTTCAATTATCACTTCATTTCGCGGAGTTCTTTATTGTGGGAAAAGCGTAGTTTAGGAGAGCAAGAAAAAAAAAACAGGTCAAGTCATCCACTAAAACTTGGCGCTTTGGATCGAATTTCGTTGACAATTTCCATTCGTTCCTCTCTTGATACGCATCGCATAGAACCGTAAAATACTGGAATAATAACATACGAGCTCATACCATTGCATTTTACAAACCAGACAGAGCAAAAGCACGGCACCGTTACCATTTACCACTTTTCATGTACCGTATGTTTAACTCTTTTATCGAGTATGACTTATTAACACTTTGATGTGCTATTTTTCCTCGACTTCGGTTTTCATTCATAAAGCGAATCGTCGGCTCTGGCGGGATAACAAGAGTTTAATCGATCACTACGCAAACTGCAATTTGTTTTGTATGCATAAGCGTGGTGGTCGTAGTCGTGGTGCAATCGGTCGATGCTCCAATTTTTATTCAAAAGAAGAAGAAGAAATAAAATCAGTCATCGTTTAGTTTCAGTGTGTGAGCGTGTCTAAAAAGCGGTTTATTCACATAATATTGTGTGCGCTTCGGGGAATTTACTTTTAGAACCTGTTTCTATGCCATTCTTCGATACGCAGAACGGTTATTTTGTTTAGTTTTCTTGTGCACAGCCGTAGGGCAAGAGCACAGCTCACACAAAACCTGTATGAGCGCCAATGCAATCTCAAATTTGCGGAAAAAGAAATCGGTTCAATAAATATCAAGTATGCATACGTACCAGCTGCAATTACATTGGTCCATGGTGAGGCTGGAATGCCGTTGCCATCTGAATCATCCGATGATTTGGTTGGAGCGAACAGGTTATTGTTGGCAAGGAACATTTGCATCAACGATCCAACCATGTTGGTCCATGAGAATGCACCGTTGCCATCGATTTGATTCGTTTGAATATCGGTATCGATGTCATCGAGCGACACTTTTTTCAATGCATTTGGTTTTTCGGCAAATTTACGGATTTGCTGTTGCTGTTGTTGCTGTTGCTGCTGCTGTTGCAATTGTTGGTATTGTGGTGGACTATGAACTTGGTAGTGTTGTACACGTGGCTGAGGTTGTTGCTGTCGCAAATATTGATATTGCTGGTATTCCGCTTGCTGTTGAGCAGTTTGCGGTATATACTGACCGGCTGTGTGACTCGGTGTGGATTGTGGGTATCCATAAACTAATGTGCTCATTAAGAGTGAAAGTAGCACCCAACCGTTGACTATTTTGTGATTCATCTTGTCTGTTTTTGGGTTGAACAAATTGAAAAACGAAAGAAAAAAAAAATCAAAAAATGAAATAAAGTGAAATATTTCCAATGAAAACGATTCTTCATTGTGAAATGTGTTAAAAGCAATCTATTTGGTTAAAAAAATAATTCAAAATGCCATCGGAATGCGAAAAAAGATGTGTGAGCAATGGAAAAAGCAACAGCAATTGGGCAATCATGTCATTGGAATAGAAAAGAAAGTAAATTGGATGAGCATCCGAACGCAACAACGCATCCATTGCATAATAGATAATCGAACGTCTTGTTTCGGTTTTTACGTGACGGATGTGGCTGCAGCCGAATAAACATCCGGCTCAATCTACGCGATTTTGTAATCCGTTGCATTCTTTCGCCGTTTTTTCCTTCTTCTTTCATTTTTATTTCTAAATCAAGACCTTCAACGTGTTTGTTTAAAATGGTCGATTTGTCAACGACAGCAATTAACGTTTCCCTTGCATTTCCTTCATTTGGTCATGACTTCGAGTTGAATGCTTGCCCTGTGTCACCTCAAATTTAGAGGGCAGACGAGTAGAATAAAACTAGTAAAATCGCGCAAATCGTCAGCACTCGCTCTAATGAATGAAGAAGATTTATGTGTAATTTGCGAAAATTACACAAAACATTCGAAGTCATTACGAGGCGACTCATTTTCAGTCCGTTTCAGTCATTTAAAAAACTTTAAACTTGAAACTGTTCATGATCATCAAAGTCTTGAGTGCTATTGTTAATAAGTCCATAAAGTCTAACAACCTAAAACCGATATATGCGTGGAAAATATACATCCATTTTCTAAATATACTCTAGTCTTTCAAGATAAAAAAGAATCTCAATAGGAACATTCACTTTATGCGTTTATCTCGATGGCATCGATGGTGGAATCTCGAAGAAAAAAACCGCTTTTTTTCATATCAATCGTGTTTTTTCTTCTTCTGTATTTATGGAAATGAATTTTTCGTCTCTTCTAGCACACCTCATTTCAATTTTCATGCATTGTTCATCTGTGTGTGTGTCGGTGTGTTATCTTGTTTCTCCTTCCATTCCATGGCGCGGATCGAAACAAACAAAAAATGCCAATGAATTTCTCTTCAGTTTGGTTCACATGTTTACTTTGTCTTTCTCCCGTGCACACGGAACGAAGCAATTATCGGCGCATATTCTTTCATATTATGAAAGAAGAAGAAAAAAAATTTACACACAAACCTGACGCCAATTTGAATATCGTGTGTATCAGGTACGAAGAATTCAAAAGAATTTAGGTCAAATCACATTATCCGTGTGTATTGAATATAAATATAAAATCAACACATGATCAAAATATAAATAATGTATAAGAATATTTTTTTTTTCGATCGATCGACCGCCATAAAAGGCGTTATGATGGCAGAAGTGCTATCGAAAATGATGTCGATTGGGAATTATGTTCGACTGAATTGTCTTTTGGTATGTTTTGACTGATCGACAACGGTCTGAAATGACGACAAACACGATAAAGACGACGAACACGATTAAGACGATGATGGCTTTACCGAATCGGTTCAATGGGTTTTTATTACGATGCAACACGAAAAACAGAGAAGACGAACACTTGTCGCACAAGCAAAATGGAAATGGTGAATATATTGGCAAAGAGAAAACAGAAAACAATCATAATTTCTGGGCCATCGTTTCATCGTTATTATCGTGGATCCGTGACAAAAGCGCCATAATTTGAGCAATATGCGCTTTTTGGTTCTCGAACAAACACACACAGTTACACACAGTTACACACACACACACACAAAAGAGAAGAAATAACTTTCATTTTGTCAAATATATCAATCAAATCACAGAGAAAATCTAATTGCTGTTTGCTTGCTGTCGTCTTCGCTAGCGAAAACGTCTATCATGAAGCCAAGCACACTGAATCGAAGAAGATATGTGATGATTCCACAGGTGAATATGATTGGTATTTTCAGGTATTTCACATTCGAAACGATTCAAATGCCATCACACAAGCACATACACACATATGAAGCAGCAATTTTTCTTATCTCCGAGAATGCAAACCACCGGCATGAATAGATCAAACTTTTCGAGAGAAAAAAAAACAACAGAATGAACACCGCGTTGATCTTCTCCAGATGATAATACTTCATCGTTTTTCTTCAACTTTTTCTTTCAATTTCTTTCTTGACGGTTTCACTTCTTTAATTAAATCTGAACAATTTGTCGTAGATTTTTTTGCGCCACTGCGTTTCACAGTCTATTATTATTATGGATCGCTTCGGTTTTAATCCTCTTTTTTTCATTCGATGGTTTTACTCATTCTTTTGCTTCTTTCTTTTGATCGTCGATAATGGCGCGGAGAGTGGCTTACCTGAGATTTTCTGTGATTTTATTTAAGGTATAAAACACTGTGAATATTCACTTGATTGAATTGTTCACCAGTTCAATTCTTTATTTTTAAAATGATTTCTGCTTTTATCTGATCTCTATGCACTACTAAAAAAATGAACACGAATAAGCCATGCGCGTCTTTTCACTCGGAGAACGAATTCATATCTGAAATTAAATTTACCTTGAACTTCGCTTTATATACGATGACCCACTTCTTTGTGTGCACCGTGCGCGCTTTGTGTGTGCGATTTGAGGTGAAGCGACTTTATACCAACCAAAGCTCATGCTTCTTTTTTATTCATTCTCTCCTACCTTTCTCTCTGTGCATACGGCTTTGGTGTTTAGCTTTACCGTTCCGTCTTGAGCTGCGTGCGCATTTTGTTGCTAATGCTTAGTCTTCTGTATGGTTTGTTTCTCCATCTTCTTCTTCTATTTCATTTTTTTTCTTCTTCATACGTTCAACAACAGAAAAAATCGTTACGACTCGATGTTGTATGCTTCATGTGTACGAAACGAAAATATGCGTTGTTAACGAAGGAAAGCATTCATGAAGGTGTGATACGGTTGACAATTTATGCGACTTGTACCACACATTCTGTGCAACGTTTAGTGTCGTACGTCAGCCGATGGTCATCTGTTGGATACAATGCGCACTGTTCATTTCTCTGAGCCAGAGCCAAGAAGACGGTGCGCAAATCCGCTTCTCTGTGCACACGGACACACTCAGTTTACAGACTCATATTCAAATGAGATCTCGATGGTTATTGAAAATTACAGGGGTGATTAAATGGCCGTTTTAGTAAAAGTATTCATTTCATACTAATGACGTGAGATTTGTGGGTATTTCGCGATTAGCCAACATTGCATTGAAAATGCTACTACACGCTTTAGAAAGAGGCGATTAGTTTTCGTTTGTTGTTGAATCGTTGTTGCGTTTTTTTTTCTCAATGTAGCCGTTGTTGTTGTTATTTGTATTTGACCGCAAATAGATTCAATTTGAGTCATTCAATTACGGAGAGAAAGCAATGAATCGGATTTATGAACACTCAAAAAGTCAAGTGAAATGATGGAATTTCGCATAACATTTTTCTTCAAACAACTCTATTGTCAATATGAAGTTGAAAAGATGAAAGAGTTTTATTGATATTTTTCTGTGGAATATTCAACTCGTCAAAATTTTGTAACAATCTCAAAGATGGTATATTTTATTAAAGAGTTGTGAACGGCTTCCATTTTTCATTAAGAATGCAAAAGTGGTGTATTGGGCTAAAGCCGTTATACCCGGTATGTTTTATAACAGCCACGACAAATGACGAAAAGTTCCACTGAAGAAAGAAATGTGCCCGAAACGAAACTAGAATGTTTCCGATTCAACTTCACACCTAGTTTTGTCGCTTAAATTTTCGCGTTTGTTTCGTCGACGCATCGCAAATGAACGATGAGAAGTGGAATATAATGATAATTCAGTGCAAAGAAAATGTAAAAATTGGCACGAGCAATTTTATATTCTGATTCCGTATACATTCACGACTGAACTCTGAACACCAATTACGAACCAGAATTGGATTTATTTCTTTTCTTTTCTGTTCCACAACAAAGACGTATGCATCAATATGGTGAAATGTAATTTGAACACATTGAGCGGTTCATTGTTGAGTGAGACGAATTGCGATGCCGACGAAGAACCAGATACACTGGTTGTGATAAGCAGCCGCGGCACATGATAATTATTCGAAATCATGATTTTATGAATGAATGAGCGACGACATTTTGTAATTCAGTCATACGGCAACTAGATCAAAAATTATACCGAAACCGTTACGAGACGCAAAGCTATGAATGGTTTCTGTTTAAAACAATCTGGAAGCGTTGGCACAAAAGAAATGATAACTTTGCGGGCCGACAATCAAATGGAAATCGCAATTATTTGCGGCTAAGAAGGTAAACAATGAACAAGTACCGGTTATGATGGCCAGTGAATTAGTTTCGCGAACAATCGCTAATTCAAACCGTACAGATGATCAATCCATTTCTCTTTGACGTGTGCATATATGGAAAATCTAGTGTGCGATGGAAAATTTCAACCGTCCAAACATCCAACCAACCGATCGATATGTTCTATTAAAATTGGGCCATTCTGGTCAATGCAAAAATTAATCAGAGCCATTGATTTACCATTCGGAAATATCGATTGAAACACACGAATTGTGAAGCAATGAATGTGTGTCAATGCGTCATTAGTGGCGATGTCACAAGACCATGACAGAAAACAAAAATGGAAGTACATATGCTTGAATAAAAATGTTTTTAATAAATATTCGTGGTCGCGTATACTTTGATTGTCCATTGACGAATTGATGAAACTTTCATTTTACATTTTGATTCGATCGATGAACACATACAGTAATTCCGGCGGAATATTGCGCGATGTGACAAAGTGAAGCAAACGCACGGCATTAAAACAACGCAAGAGTATGTAAGTCAAAATTAATTGGTTTGTTGTTCGATGTGAATAAATCACGAATCGAAATTCACATTCGAAACATCGAACCAACGCAAATGGGAATGTGAATGACCGACACGAATGCATAAACCTGCCGAAATAAACATATCACAAGATCGCTGTGTGCTTCTCGATTTCTTTTCTCTGTAATTTCACTTCTTCCGCTGTCGTCGACTACACACACACACACTCCATCCAATTTTCGTTTTACTGTTGTTTTCTATTCAACAATTTGTTTTTTTTTCTATGCGCTTTCGGTCACTTGGCACTCTCTTTCTGGTGCGCTTGTGATCGGGAGATAATTGTGTATGATCTGTTACTGTGCAGAACATGAGATCATGTAAAATGGGACTTGAATTCATCGTACAAGCAACAAATGATGATATTCTAGCCACAATACGGCACAATGATGAATAAATTGAAGCTCGTCATTCACATGAAAAATGGCAATTTATTTAAACGAACTAAAGTGAACAATAAGACCGATCTGATAATGAAGATGTTATGATTATTATCGATTCCATTGTTTTGGTTGTAAATAATAATGGGAAATGGTGGCGCATACGCCGGCGGTTAAAAAACATATCATATCCATGCAAGTACCGATGTATGCGAGCGAGTAGCGCATACTTGATTTTACCGTTCAAACGGAATATCTCTTCGATTCCACAACTCCATTTCTGGTATAGACATTCGTAATGCGAATTTCGCATCTCATTGGAGTTTCGAAACGCACAATTTGCTTTGGATGCAACGTTTTTTTTCTTCCTATTGCACATGGCAACAGTAATGCATATGCAACTGTAGATGCGCCTTGACTGAGCTTCAATATCACGTGCATTCGCTTACACATTTTGTGTTTTTTTTTATTTGTTCGTTTGTTTGTTCAAACTTATTAATTGAGAAAACGTATTCTTTCCGCTTCAATTGGATTTAGGTTAATGACTTTCTTTCTTGTGTACCACTTGATAATTTTCGGTATTGCTACCTACTAAGGGAACAGCGCTAACAACATAAAGGCATGTCGATTGCTGAAATGCATGGAACCAACAAACGAACCATTGCTTGCTTGTGGTGCAGTTCGCGAGTACTCACGCTGCAAATGTTTCAATTGTTGTAAGCACCAATGTTTTGCTACAAGTTCATCGAACAGTGGTGCAATGGAGGAAAAAAATGATGATGATTATGATGATGATAATGACTGGGTTTTCTCACATCCGGTTCGGTCGGATAGATGCGCTTCATATTTTCATGCACATTTTATTCGGAACGAAGCACAGTTTTTTTTTTTGGTAGATACCAATTCAAGCCGATTCTCTTGTGAAATGGTTGAAATTTCAAAGAATTCTACAAAGAACGTATTATTTCCAGTCGATTGCGAATCTGACGATGACGAAAATGTTCATTTCCACCGGATCCATTCAGACGTTGTGCTAAATCTTCGGTGAACATTTTGTTACCATTGTTGATTGTACAATTTTCAGCCATCAATTTATCATTACGAACAGTAAACGTCATGGGTATATTGAAAGAAACTTGGAAAAAAGAGGCGAGACGCTTTTTAAGAGTTTCATTGAAATTTTTTCTGTAAACGGTTCGATTTGGAGTGGCCAGGTACCGAGTGTATGGAAATGAATAAGTTGTGTTTAAACGCTCGATTGAATCTCAACTTTTCTCTGCTCTTTTTTTCCATTTTCATTCCGTGGCTTTCTTCTGTTTGCTTTGCGGCCGCACCATATCAATTGCCACTCTTTATGACGAACGATTTCAATTGAAAATTCTTCTCTTTTTTTCGGCCGGTTTTGTAATTGTAATAAAATGTGTTTCGTGGGCTCTATCCCGACAAAACAAAACACGTTGAATAATCTTTATATCGGCCAGTGCGTACAAGATGATTGAGTTTACAATGGAAATGATGAAAAGTACACCGAAAAAAGGCACCGAATGTAGCGTGTAAATTGCAATTGTTTGGCTCATTTTAAATGTTTTGATGTTAAACATTGGCTCTTTTTAACACGTGCACCGACATATTTATTTATTTTTTTGTTTCTTTCTATTTCGTATGTGCATATCAATGAGATACACACAAAAACTGTCTGCTTTCCATTTGTGTTGAGTTGTTGAATCGCTTGTGCTAAAAAAAAACAAAGTACAACCGAGAAACGGGTGCGACGGCCATAAAACATTCAGTGTTATCGACACGAATGGTTTTTTTCTCTCTCCTTCAAGTCAAGTGACTTCAGAAAGTAGAAAGAAAGAGGGTTAGAGTCCTATTTTAACAACAATGTAACGTCTTCTTTTGCTACAACAACCTTCGTTGGTAATTTTCCAATGTACTTGTTGTTCAAATATCCTTTGCTACGTTGTCCACGTGTTTTTGTTTTTGGCTTATTTTCTTATCCAGTGTTCAAGAGAAAATGACTACGTCGACAACTCATCAAAAATTCCGAGTATTTTTTTTCACTCAAATTGCACACACAGAGAGAGAGATTAAAAATCTGCACGACGAATGTGTCAGTAATTTGTTCACCGATTATTATTATGATGTCTAATTATGACGTGGAATGCACACACACAGAGAGAGAGAGTGTAAGAAAAAAGAGAAAGAATTTAGCGAGTTAGTGAGAAATATGGAATTTGGATTTCGCAGCAAAACTAGATCATATCGACGAGATGAGAGAGCGAGTGTATACATATTCGTGTGATGCACAAAGTTCCATCGAGAGTTTCGATATGTATGGGCTGTTTTTTTTTCTCTATAGATATCTGCCCATTTCGAAACGAATTAACCGTATTGCATTGACTTTCTTTTTATTACATTTTATAACTATGGCTATGATGTTTTGCTGTTGCTGCTGCACATTTTTTTTCCATTGTTATAGCTCACAAATTATTTCTATTTGCATTGATAAATATGATTTATACTTGGTAAATTGTTGCTTACCTCGTGAAATTTGTAATCGCTTTTGCACGCAAAAGTAAGAAGTCGAAGAAACGAAAAAAAATATATTAGATTTTCCCCACACACAAACACTCACACTCCACACGCTCTTGGAACTGAATGTGCCTCTAATCAAATGGCAACACAGATGGTCAGTGTTGAAGAAGACGAAGAAAAAAAACCAACGATATGGTATTCCAATTCCAAAGAAAAAATCCGTTAAATGTTCTATTTTTCTGTGTATCGTCTTTCTGTGTAAATTTATTTTTTCGTTTATCACCTCTTCTCTCTCACTTTGTGTATATTTAAAATTGTATCAAATGTATCACGTTTAGAAGTAGACGACGCAAAGAAAATTATCTTGCTTTAATGTAATATTCAATTTTCAGCACTGTGTGTAAAAGCACTTGCAAAACGTACGTACGTATCTTTTCACTTCAAAAACAATTTCATATCTGAAATTAAACTTACCTTGAACTTCGCTTTATATACGATGACCCACTTCTCGTTACTGCTGCTGCTGCCGCTGCTGCTGCTTTGCGGATCGGTGTGGTAAATTTCGGTGAGTACGGTCTAGATGCATCTCGCTCATACCCGTACAATTGATGTACCTACCTGTCCGACTAGGTTGTCGATCGGTGTTTCTCTTTACCGTTTCGGTCTTTCTTCACTTGCGAACGCACATTTCGATGTTTCTTTACTTTACTTTGAGAAAACATTATTTCCAATCATACGCAAAGAAATGCTGATGTGCGCACAATCAAGAAAGCCATGCATAGCCGTAAGACCATTTCTATCTGTGTACGCAATATACCGATCGCTTTTCGAATCGACTTTAGCGCTACGCTACATACACTTTTCCAGAAGAAGAAGAAGAAGAAGAACCTCTCGGTCGTAATTGATGTCCCATCCTTCGTGTGTGATTGAAAATGAGAATGCAACAGCTTGATGTGCTTCAGCCATTTACAACGTTGTTCCGTTCAACACCGGTCAAAATGATTTCTGCCTTTGTTCTGACGAAACTGGATTTAAAACCGAAGAAAGAAAAAATCGAAACCAAATGGCAACGCGATTTCCAAAATGACAATCCGTTTAGTGACTGGATACGCGCGTTCAATGTCAATTGAAGCTGTTGACCGAAAATGAATTAAAGAAGAAGAAAAAAGAACAGGAAAGAAAAGAATGAGTTTTGCGAATAAAAAAATGAATAATATTCTTGACCTTTAAAGACACACAAACATAAAGAAGAAGAAGAAGAAGTAGAAGAAGGTGAAGTTGTCCATTCATAGCAGCAGCAGCATAAACCAATTGAATACCAATTTTTGAAATTGTGTGCGTCATATCACATTCGAGCAATCATCTAATCAACGATTCGATAAATGCAACTCTCCGGCCGTACGCGCCGATTCATTCATCGAAATTCTTTTTAGTTAAAGTTCAAATTGAGCTATAATTGATAAATAATGGAGTATTTCACTTAAAGCATTCATTCAGCCCATTGTTATGAAGCTAAATTACATTGGACGTTTAAAATAATAATGTCAGTGTTTCACTCTTTGGCTCTCATTCTCTTTCGGTTTTCCGCTAGCAAAGAATATACATATGGATTATGCGGATGCTGTAAGCTTTTAAATCTTGTACGAATCGCGGCGTTCAATGCTTATTATAATTTGGTTTTGTTCCCTAGCTTGCCTAAATGGCCAAGAAGATATCGAAACAAAAATAAAATAGAAAGCATGAAACAATAATTTTGAATGACAAGAAAAAAAAACACATTACCGAAAAAAAATTCGAAATCTGCTCTTTTCTGTTCATTGTGTACTTTCATAATGAGTGCTCATTTTTGCATTTTCAACAGATGACCACAAAACCGTATAGAACCAGATACGATCGTGATCTAGTAATTCAGACGATTGTGTGTTTGAGACTGTGTTTAGCGTAAGGCATAATTTCAGAGAAAAAACTATGTGAGATATTTTCTACGATAATTATAATCAAATCTTCTGCATAGAGAGAATGGTTAGGAGCTAATTTTGGCACACAAATTTATGCAAACTCTCCTCAAACAACCAGAAAATGAGACTTTTTGAATATTTTCACACTTAGCACAAAAGACAAAAACCGACAACAACCGATTGATACGGCTTCTGTTGATGCAAAATGAAAAGATGAAAAAAAATGAAAAGAAAACTTGTTGTCATTAAATCCGATGCTTGATTGTTTATGTGTTGGCCGATTGTTGGCGACATGCGATTTTTATGAATGAATAAAGTGAAATTTTTTGCCCCATCTTCACAGTTTGTTCACACTCTGCCACGAATGTCTGATTAATATTGAACAAAAGATCATAAAATAATTATTTATGGAAGCAACCGTCAAAACCGTGCCTGTGCTAAGATGTGGCCATTAGCCATCAATAGAAAATGTACCAGCGCGACATGATCATCAGTTGTTTGTACTAATTAAACGCTGACGTGCGATACCGGTTACGAGTGAATCGAGCCGAAGTTTCTCGTAGGTTGGAGGTTCGTCTTTACTTTTCCATTTGTATCACCAGTTCATTGTAGCCGGTTCATTCGTTTTGATTCGCGCAAAATATGACCACTTCAATCATAAGCTCATATCGCTCCGGCTTGCAAGACATATTGAATCATTAATTTTTTTCGGAGCCGTGGATATGATAACGATAATCAGTTTCCCATTTGAAACTTGAACACCATCATTATTATGAATGGTTTCAATGCATGCAATTTATTCAATCGAAACGATTAAATGTTCACATCATACACAACATGAGCGCTGCCATCATTGATGAAAACTCCACGATACATATATAATAAATCGATGCAATTCGGACGAAGAAAAAATAAATAGATGAAACAATCAATTTCGTATCGATTTCATTTGCGGCTTGAATTTTACTTTCTGCAACAGTAACAACAACGGCAAAAAAGCGATGAAGAGCAAAATACCAAATATTAAATTCAAACATGGTAATGCAATAGTGAGCAGCAGATTCACTTTCTTTCTAAAAAAATAATACCACGAATACATCAATTTCAATTGCTTAAACGTTACTCTTTTTTTATTCACTCGATAGCGAAATTTTATACAATATTTATAGTTTTACATACATTGTGTTCTTGTGTGCCGACGATATTACACACTATTTGTTTACTTGCCTCTTTTTCAAACCTTAGGTCTATCTGCGAGTGTGTATTAAATACGTTGTTGTTTTTTTTTACAAAGATATTTTTGAAACCGAAATATGACTAGGTGCAAAAACGCCTCAACGCCATTACCATCGACGAAACGTTGAACTTACAACTCATTAAAAAATATATGCAAAGTCCATTTGATTTCCCATTTTTTAGCTGCGTTTTGTATGTGTGTATGTGTATGTATTGATTTGGTCTCTCTTTCGGTAATTCCGTTCGTCTAAGTTAGATTTAAGCAGATTTGTAAGGCTTTGTATATTTAACTCTATTTTCTAGATGCTTCTGTTGAACAAGTGCTTTTCTTTCATAGGTTTTATTTTAATTTGTGATTGATTTGTGTTGCCTATCACATAAAGGCCAATAACCGACTAGTTGCAATGGAATGAATTTCATTTTCGGATTTTGACAAAATTCGATGGCTCAGAACGCAACGAATCCGTCAGATATTGAGTACGAAGTGTGTGTTGGAAATAACGTTTCTCATTTGGTGAATTCAATGCGTACACGATGGGCTGGATGTTCGATTGACGCCACATTTGCCCTATGTGCCTGTAATATAATCAAACGTTTGGTCAATTTTACGTCATTTTTGAAAGAAATCTTGAGCAAACGCTCACATTTTATGACTTACGCATTAAAATCGTGTTTGTTGATGAAGACCGCACTGATGCCGGTCAGCACAGCGATTATGTTTCGATACAGCAATCCATACAGGAATGAAAAGAACGTTGAATTCAACAAAATTGATGGTAAATTGATTTTGGTCACTTTATCCAACCAAAGAGCACAAATAAATTGCGGATTCTGTTTTCGAAGCTAAGAAAATAGAAGCAAAATAATCATGTAGTCATACGAATTGTATTGTTATCGACTATATCAGACGATAAATAGTTAAACTACAGCGTATTAATCGAAAAATCTCCTAATTAAACTGCCTTATCAGAATGTACATTGTACAATCAACGGCGTTGATTCAACACAAAAGCCATTTTACCTGGAATATTACTTTCGGTGAGCGACTGCACACGACGATTCGCTTGAAGCGTTCGGGATTGTTTTCAAAATATCGCGAAATATTCGAAACGATTTGCTTGTTTGTTGAGCCCATCAATAGGAAAATGTTAATTTTTTCATGCACATCGAGCAAGTGCATGAGGTCATTGAATTGTAGTATCGGTTCATTTGGATGCTTTTCACTGAAATTTAAATAATTATATTTACAATACGTAGGTTGAACGATACCGATCCGACGATTCATTGATGTAGGCTTCGTAATAAATAAATAAATAAAATATGCAAGTCATAAATTACCATAATGGATGATTTTTCGCAATGTTCATCGATTTCAAATCGTCCAATTTTTTTGAGTTTATTTTCGAAAAAGACACCTGAGGCTTATGGGAAGCTTCATCAAAACCATTTGGCACTTCATTTTCCAGTCGGTGCAATGTTTTCTCATGCAAAATCACCAGTTGGCCACATTTCGTTATGTCCACATCCAATAAGATATATCTACACGATTGCGCTACGCACTAATTGAAATAGAAACGGGGAAAATATATTCAATTCCTTGGCGTTGATTAATTAATTTAGAAAAAATTGGAACATAAAAAAAAATCTCAGATCATTTTATCATACAAGAGTGAAAACTGCAGAAAAAAGAACGATCTTAGTTCTCTAAGCAATGTTAAGTTGGAAAATTCTCAATTTTCTTCAATGAAAATTCGAAAGAAAATGTCAACCGATTTCAAATGTTTAAATATCCTTACTATAAGCGGCAAAACAGCTTTGGAGACTTTATGAATATTTCAAATGTGTCGGTTAGTTCCAACTTTTCCCGATAGGTGGCCATTTATTGACATGTATTGAACATTGCTCAGTTTGCTATAATGAACTGAAGTTCGAAGTCTGTTTTTCGGCAAAACAAATGAACTTTTTAACGACAAGATAATTGATCTTAATAGCATTGTGCACTACGATTCGTTTGTTGATTAGTTGTGCAGAGCACATTAATAGTTTTGGTTGAACATTTCGTTCAAACTCCGAATGGTTTCAGTTGGTTGCATAAAATCAGAAAGGTAAGTATGGATTTATGCAAAATCACAGTGACTGCTATGAAGGCGAAAGTTGATCCCGGTCCTTTTAATTGCAGAAAAAATGACAGAGCCTTCACCCAAAAAACCCACGTTGAAAGTTGATTATTCAGTAGTTGGTAGCAGTCAAAGTAGCTCAGTGACAAAAACACCGATCGAAGAAGGCAAATCATCAGAAGCCGAAGGATACGTCCCCACAGAACCTGATCCGATGGAGGAAAAAGGCCTAAAAATAGTACATCTCTCGAATGAGTGTCTAGAGAAAATATTTCACTACTTAAACCTGACCGATTTGACGAATTCCGCCGAAGCAAATGTACGACTTGCTGCTGCAGCAAAGAATGTTTTTACCCAAGTGCACCAGAACCATCGTCTGTTTTTAAAGTCACGCGGCCAAGTGATTCAAATACCCGAATGGCATCCCCCAATCGACTCGGACAATTTCTCGCTCAGTCCAACTGTTGTAGAAAATATGTTCAAACATTTTGGCAAATATATTCGTCGAATCAAAGTTTTCCATTCGATCGGTGGATTCAACACCACACAAAATTATAATGTGGCGTATCAAATAGCACAGCATTGCAGTGAAACACTGGAGGAGTTGGAATTAATCGGTGCGACGGTGTTTAATGCGATGCGTTATCTTCAAAAGCCATTTAAACGTTTGCATCGATTGGTTTGCTGTGAAATTATCACCCGATTGTCGCCAGTCGATAATTTAAATGAACTGTTCCCAAATCTACGTACACTTGAACTCCACAACGTATTCCATGTATTCGAGTCATTTAGATTGGAGCAACATTTTCCACATATGGAACATTTCGCCGTTTTTACATTCCCATATTTAAAATTCGATCCAACTTACATTCCGATCATTCGTCAAATCGTCAATTTGAATCCACAACTAAGAGGCATTAGTTTGTACGATATGAAATCGGCATTGAATGATTTTTCATTGGACACGATGCCGAATATTGAACGGCTTGAAATCGGCGGACGGCTTATGTTTCCACGGCCACCATTTGATTTCGGGAATGTCACAAGTCTTAGATTGATCTATTCCAATGAAAATGTATCGAACTCCAAGGAATGGCGCAATTTGCCACCGCAACTCGAACGATTGGAAGTGGTTGGTTTCAAGATCAATGACCGTTCAATTGCGGTTATTCATCAATGTCGGAATTTGAGGTCGTTAACCGTAATGTCCTTCGATGAAATGGATTTAAAATGCGTTGAACAACTTGCCGAGAAATTGCACCACATCGAAGAAGTGGAATTTATGTCGAAATTCAACGAAAGCTCAACAATAACAAACGCATTCTCTGCAGCACTCGTTTTCATACAAAAGTGTAACACTCTGCGCAAGGCAACGGCTACCATACAAATCGAAAAGGCTGAGGCTCGATACCGAATCAACAAATGGCATTACATCAAATCGAAGGAATGCTCGGAGGCGTATCGCGAAAAATTGAGAAAAGTTTTAGTATTTGATTGGTGGCGATGGTCGATTCGACATCACGTGCGAATTATCGATTTTCTCAAAAGATGGCAAATCGGGCCATGCTTCAGCGCATCAATGATTAATAATTGCATGCAACAATAGCTTCAATTGTTTATTCATTTGACGTCATCGAATTTTTTTTCTCTACTTTTCATGCATCATTATTTATTGATCATAGATTATTTTACGCAATCTACAATTGTAAGAATGACGAAATAAAGATTAAGAAATTTTCATGCAATTCAAAGCGTTCTTTTCTCCTTCATGTAATAATGTTTTTGCAGAGCTAAGTACAACGAGAATGATAGAATAGATTACTTTGTCTGAGAGACGCTATGGAGCACATTCTATTCGGTCTATCGAAGAATATATGTGTCTATGTTTGTGAGTCGGAGTGCTAATAATAAACTGCACGATTTGCGATCTTATTTGATTAACAAGTGCTGAACTACCGTACAAATAAGTTTGTTCGTGAGTTTGAATTTTTAATGTCGGAATTTGTAATTAGGTATTTGACCCAATTTCACCTCTATATTTGGCTTTACAATTAGCACCGTTTGCTACACCACCGTTCTAAAAACTGATACGACAAACAAGAGATATACACTTTTCCATTGACTTACTTTTTCAATTGAAGAACGTGAATTTTCCACACCATCCAAGCAAGCGGCACGGTTTGCAATCGGCCACCATTCAATCGTATCACTTGAATCGCATCGAAGATTTTGCTGTCGTCCCGTTGAACATTGTCTGCTGTCGATATGTTGATTACCGCCAATGGCATCGATTAAGTTTGGTGGTAAATTCGGTTGTTTCAATCGAAAATATCGACTGAGCACAAATATTACAACTCCAACACAGAACAAAAATCCCACACTTGTGGCGCAAGCCAAATCATAAACTAATCGAATCGCTCGGAAGATAAACAAGAACACTTTGAATAAAAAACTCAGCAGTGATGATATCATTTTTTCTCTTCTCTTATCGTTTCGTACACACAACAACAATAACAAAAAAAATCGTGCTTTAAATTGCTTCACTTTCGTGTTGGAATTTCACTTAAAGGCGCTTTTTCAATTAAAAAAAACTATGTTTACATCCTTTACTTCAATTTAAAAAAAAAACTACGCTTGCTATTTCCGTAAATCTATGACTGACTAGAGCTGATATTCAAAACACATCGATAAAAAAAGAAGTAGAAAAAACATGATGGTGGATAAAACATGACATTTCGGCGTTTTGCGTGTGTGTGTGTGATATGTTTCCTGATCACTAGCGGATAATAGACTATAAACGCATTTCTACTATAGAGGGGTGGTACCTTTTCTCCACTCGTATCACGCTAACGTGTTTTACTGTTTTGTTTCGGGCTTGCTCGGTGTACAATCGAACGTTAGCAGGAGCGATAGCGGAATCATTTGAAATTATCGCTTTGAGGTTAGAATAAGTGTCTCGTGATTAAGGCTTTCAAGAGAACAAGGAAATAAAAACTGATTTTGAATTTGGATTTTTGACTTATTTTTACTTTATTTTCAATAGAAATAAAGCTTATGGTAACGAATACATTGAAAACAACTTTTTTTTATTCCAATGAGATCATCAGTAAATTGTCAGCACATCTTGCTAAACTGTGACCTTTGTTCAACGACTCCATTCATGGTCATCTCGTGAGCGCTGCTTTTCGATGTTTTCACTCCGTGTTAACTAATTGAGGAAAGAAAATGCGAATTGATTAGTAAAAATGCAAATTTCAGATCAACAAACAATTTGTTGATGTAAATAAGCTTCAGTGAAAGTATGTGGTTATCATAACTACTCAAAAGTGTCCCAAGGCCTGGGTTTATAGATCATCATGTAAAAAAAAATTGGAAGAATAATCAAAAGATGTTTAAAGTATAATTACCTGATGGCTTTTGACTGTGTCGATTGTGACCATTGCGCTCGAGCGATGCTATTTGAGGATTGAAAGGGTTAGTATCCGTGTCATTTGATTCTCAACAAAATGGAAATTACTTGAAACCAAAACGAACTGGTGCAAAAATATATTTCTTTTTTCAAAAACAAAACGTAAAAGAGTTCAATGTAAAACAAGAAACTCTTGGTGGGTAAAATGGTACGAACATCACAGACTAAGCCCCATTGTGGTAGATTCACAATCGAAACCGATGTCCGATTGAAAAATCCAAATCATATCTATAGATTCTGGCCGGTTTGCAGAAGCGAACATTCATCGCAAAAAATCGAAAGACCCGTTAAGGTTTTTCTCACATTTTATAGGCAAAATACCGACAACTGCAATGAAATGCTTTACGCATCAGTACTTTCTACTGCAGGCCCGGGGACTTTACCCAGGATAAGTTTGAGTTACCAGGAACTCGTATGTAATCCCGTGAGTTTGGCTTGAAATATTCGTTAATACCCGCCGCAAAAATCGCATTTTTCATTGAACTCAATCGAAAACTGAAACAACCAACTTGGCAAAGGACGTTTTGGTTTCAAATAATTTTCAAATGTGGATAATTACGTTTCGTTGCTGATCTGTAAAGAAATAAATGAAAAAAAAACTGCATGAGTTTCATTGTATAATCAAATTGCTTCGGAGAAATTTGCTTTTGATTGAATGGATCAGCACTGCAGGAGTATCGGCAACAAAATTATGTGAGTGTGATATTGTCATCATATCCAAATTTCAATGAAAATTGAGTAGAAATTGTTCGGTAAATTACCTTCTTGTGTTCACCGATGAATGTTGGTAGGTGTGCACGAAATGAAATGCTTCATCTGAAACGAACAGGAAAGAATACGATTAGAGAGAGTCATTTGAAGCAAGCTAGATGAGTTTGGTTTGTGGATCAGAGTAATACAAGATTATAATCACATAAAATCAGGTGAAACACGGATTACAATAACATCATGTTGAAAATATGTGATAATAGATAATAAAATGGCCATCAATCGAGCTTACCTTCACGACCAAGACTCCAACACATTCAGTTGGTACTTAACATTGGCCCGGCACCACGTGGTTACATTTCAGGTGACCTAACCTAAAAATTGACAAATCAAAAGCAAAATATTAGTTTTTCTGCTACTTTTTCCTTGCACTCAACATAGTTTTGTGACGTGGATTTTGTGTTACGAAGGTGTCAATTCGAAATAAAATGATATTTATGTCGAATGCGACCCACGAACTGCCGTTTGCTATCGCACACGAAATATAACAAAGAATTGCAATTTCCATTAGACACAGGAATTGAATTTTACCACAAATGTGCTTCGTTGAAAAATTCATTGGATCGAATGAAAATCGGTTTGAAAACTTACGTGATTTTTTTTCTTCTTCAAACCGGAATATCCCATAAGAACTTGTTCAGCTCGTACAATGAATATAGGCGACGCGCCCACGTGGCTATAAACACCAAAAGAGCAACAAAAAGAAACACAAATTATTTTTTCGTTCACAACATAAGATTCACGTTTAGGTACATTCAGAGATGAAATTGTATTATTTAAAAATTCCATGCTTGTAGTGATAAAACTTGGTACAAGCAAACGATGACCAATAAAACATTTCTATACGCAATACTACGAGCAGCAACATGAATGGCAAAATCATGCACTGAAGATACCTGAGTGCGATACTATGGAAAATTTGACGAAAATTCATCAAAAAATTAAAAATTGTGAAAAGAAAAACTTACAATTGAAATGGATGACTCCATTTTGAAACACAATAAATGCGATTCTTTGTGTTTTTAGTGGAAATTTACAAATTGTTTTCTTCCGATTGGGAATTTTAGATGTTGACTCTCCAAACGCCGAAATTGAAAAGAGCGACTCCGTGGGGAAATGTAATCACGTATGCGATGCTCGAATCGGTAACCACTAAATTGTTCGCATCAACAACACTTTCGGGCAAACGTACTCTCATATCAAATGTCATGGATTTTTTTTTCTCAACAAAAACCGTCACTTCATCTTGTTATCAGTTAAATTTTTTTCATTGATAACTTTAATTAATTTTTTTTTTTCAAAATGAAATTTTTGTCCCAGTTTTCGCATGTAAATCGATGTGAATAGTTTGTAGTTGTTTTAATAGTTTGCCGGAGTGTAGACCATTTCTTTGCCGATGACATTACTATTGTCTGTCATCGTTGATGTGTGTATGATGTGTGAACCGTAAAACTTTCTATTTTTTTTATCGAATAAACACACAGATAGACATTGCCGAAATTGATAGAAATTTACGATATTTTTACGAGACTTTTATGTGAAAAACTCATAATTTTCATGAGCAATTCAACGAAAATAACTATTGACCCACACCATTCATTCCTCCATAATTGAAAATCCGTAGATATTCTTCCGAAAAATCGCGCATAGTTCATTTGCCTAAGGAATTAATTAAATTAGATTGTTGTTGTAGTCATAAGTGAAAATTGTTTAATGAAAATCATCGGCCGAACAAGTGCGTAGATAAAGTGAAATTTTAAATCGAAAAAGATGAACAGCTTGGGTTGGGCGATTATATTCAAAATGGGCTGTTGGTGCTCAAAAGAGACCATCATCATCGGCGGTACCAAATATGTAGTTAGAGAGCGTATAGCGCAAGGGTAAGTACAAACAAACGGAAATTCAATGACAATGACAATGTTCTAACCGAAACCATGGTTTGTGTGATTGCAGGGGTTTTAGTTTGATAGATTTAGTGGAAAATGCGACAACCAAACGAAAATACGCTTTAAAACGAATCACCTGCCACAGTATCGAAGACCAAAAGATTGCGATGCGAGAAGTGGAATTAACACGATCAATTAAGCATCCAAATGTAGTGGAAATTATTGACTTTGAACTAAAAGGCGATGCCGACATAGTGATAAACACCATTAGCCATGTGTACATTCTCTTTCCATTCTTTAAAAACGGGTCGCTACTAGATCATCTGAATATGCGAGCTAAAACCAAAGATCATATGGCTGAATCGCAAGTGTTACAAATATTCTTGGGCATTTGCGAGGGATTGAAAGCATTGCACGAAGCTAAACCTGAACCTCTAGCACATCGTGATTTGAAAACAGGTATAAAAAAAACTCACTTTCGTTTAAATCATCAGCCGTGACTGTTTCATATGACCGTCACTTTTGACGTTCAATGCGATGGAAATTTGGTTGAATTTCATTTTTTCTCTTCCATTTTCTCATTTCAGCCAATATTTGTTTGTCTGATTCGATGGAGCCCATTCTAGTCGATTTGGGATCATGCACGGAAGCACGAGAACAGATTTGTGGACAACACGAAGCCCAGAGACTTCAAGACCAAGCTGAAGAAAGATGTTCAATTGTTTATCGCGCACCGGAATTGTTTAACGTCCAATCCTACTGTATGATCGACGAAAGGACAGATATTTGGTCGTTAGGCTGTTGTTTGTATGCAATTTGTTTCTTCAAGTGTCCTTACGACATTATTTATGAGAAAGGTGATAGCGTTGCATTGGCCGTTCTCAGTGGGAATGTTGATTTTCCGACAGATTCACCGTATTCGGAGGTACATTACTTTCTCATTTTATTCAATTTTTTTTTATTGAGCCAAACTCAATTTCAAAAACCTTTCATCGCAAGCAAATAATAATAAACAATAAGACTTTGCACTGAATTCCAACCATTTTTATTGATTTCTTTGCAGGATATGCACAACTTGATCGCATTTATGTTGAGAATTAATCCAATGGAACGCCCGTTTATCTACTCCGTTCTCGAAGCAGCCCAAAGTCTGATAACAAAATTGGAAAGTCGCGTTTAAATTTATGAGCATTCCACATCATTTTCCCAGAGAGAGTGAGAGAGAGAGTGAGAGAGAGAGTGAGAATGGGCAAAATGCACCTAGCAAAAATACTATAGTCAATTGTATATGAGATTCTCTGAAAATTCGCATTTGTATTGTAAATAAGGACTAAGTTGTAAAAATGTTAAAGAAAAATAAGACTATTCAAGGAGTAATAACGCTTGAAACAATAACAATTTGCGGTGTCGTTTTTATTGTTTTATTTATTTGATCGATTTTATTTTCGTAAAAGCTTCTTTTTGGTTTTATTTTCATAGCCAATCAAAAATAACACAGGCAGCTGGACCTGTTCAGTGTTCACACCAAAGCCGATTACTTCTGGTTCAAAGTTGGTTGGATTTAAAAAAAGAAAAAGAAAACTCAAACACAACAAGTAATCATGAAAGAACGTCATAAATCAATAAATACTCTTGATTTGCTCAAAAATCAGAAATTCGTGTTTGTTGCGAAGTGCGAGTGCGGGCGTTTGATGTGAATGATAAGCGAAGAAGTTTTCTGTGTTGGAAAAACCGCTCAGCAAACGGTTTATGAACTACCGCAATGTACTGAATAAAATAGCACTCAACAACTCCCGTCGTTGTAATAAACAGTCGCTCTCACGCAACAAACATTCATAATTTAGCGTTAGAGTAATCCAAATGGTTTTCAACAAGTAAGGCGTTGCGTTACGGTGGAATGTAATGGAATGTGTTTGAATGGTGGTTCGTGACGCATGGCATGTGTGAGTGAGAGAAAGAGAGATAGAGTGTACCATAGCCATGCGGCGTCGGTAGCGGTTAACGAACTGACAGCATATGGAAAATATGACAGAATACAAACGGTGTCATATCCATCCATCGCATGGATTGCCGACCGCCAGGCACACCACCGTGTGCATTTCGTTGAGTTTTTCTCATTTGAGCCAGTCAGTTGCTGACAGTTGTACATGAACCGTCGACCAGTGCACAGTGTGTGAGTTTTGTACGCTTCGCGTTTCAATCGTCATTGTTTTGAAATAATATCCAATTCTCTTTCACTCACTCGCTCACACACACACACCCAGAGAGTGAATACGAAATATCTACGGTGTGAATGTGTTTTTTTTTTCTCGGTCAATGAATGTAATGTGCACACGAACAAAAAAAAACAACAACAAACGAAAGACATTTTATTTTTGTTGTATCAATAATTCAATATGTTTGTCGGGATGGTCTAGTGAATCGGTTGGTACAGTCGCATACATGCCATTACGGCAATTATTATTATTGCCACAATCGTAAAATAGCGATACACACGTTTCGACTCGTGTGAAGTGTAGCGAAAATCTTATAAAATTCCATTCCGAATAAATGTGTATAAAATATAATAATAATTTTAACGCGAAACAGCGAATTTAAGCTGTGGTGTGTTTTGTGTTCAACGTGTGTATGTGAGTGTATTTTTTCCTCTTTTCTTCTGTTTCTCTGCTGGTGAGCGAACGAGCAAAATACGTGAATACAAAATGAAATGAAAATAAGAAAGAAACACCAACAAAAACAACAAAATGCTTGATTTTTTTTCTCAACGAAATTTAATGTGTGTATTCCAAAGAAATAAATTAAGGTTCGGCTGTTTGTTGAGCAAATAAAACAAGATCTAGAAAATACCCTAGGAAACATCGATGGGTATGTGCTACTGCTTGAGTCTGTTTGTTGCTTGCACGAGTTGCTGCACAATTGCTGGCATTTACGTTTTACAGTGAAAACTCCCGTGCTGGATGTTGTATTAAATGGCATAGTGAGAACTTCAACGTACGACAATGACGACGACGACGACGACGACGACGACGACAACAACAACAAAAGCGGCAAATGAGAATGGGAAAATATTCGCTTAATTAAACTTCATCTTTGCTGGGTTCATCTCTTCTTTTTTTGTCATTCTCTCTCTCTCTCTATCGGTTCTTGTAAATTTTTCTCTTTGCCAAATACCGTGGTGGCTAAAAATATGTGAAAAATTTCGGAAGGGAGTCGCCCGCCGAATTACGCTCATATTTGAACATTTAAATGCTGCACACGAGCCCACTGTCTCTATCGCTCGGCACCTAAACGATAGTTTACGACATTTTTACGTTTTCAATGAACGAAAAATCTATCAACGAATGCCCAGATTAAATTCAGACCAGCGCCACACAGCTCAAACGAATATTCAATTTTACAGTGAAAACAACAGAGAGAAAAAAAACCACAAACGAATGACGAGAGAAAAAAAGAATCATTAGTCGGACAAAACGAGAAGGACGGAGAATATTGTTGTCGTTAAAGTAAATGAGGTAGTGTTTGACAACGTTTTACGAGGTAAAAAACATACATAAAGAGCCGAGAAAAATATTTTTCTGTGCTTTTTTTCATATATGTATATGAATAACAAAAATACGCCCGAATTATTCAGTTTTTTGAGGTGAATGTATAGAAAACGACAACGATGACGAAGTCGACGACACTAGCTAACGATAATCGAGAGTCGAGAGGTAAAAAGAGAGAGAGAAAGCAACTTGAAAGGTTGTCAAGCAATTTCGACTACTGAAAACGACAACAATATAATGAAAACGATGTGTGCCACACAATACTTTAAGCATATGCAGTGACGATGTCAATACGAAGAAAGAAAAACAAACAACAATCAAAACGTACATATATGCAAAACGAAGAGAAAATATACACAAATTGTAAGCAAGAGGAAGACGGAAGAAAAAAAACTTACGAAACTTCAAACAAACAGATTTTGCTTTTTTGCCAAAAAAAAACGGTACGAGTGTGAGTCTTTTTTCTTGGCATCAGTATAGTTGTCATGGTTTCCATACCGAGAAATCGCTATGTGCTACATATATTCATAATAATATTCAGATTTATGCCGTTTTTTTCGTGTGTTGTGTGTTGTTAGTTGTGCGAATTTACTTGATCTGTTTGGCGATGTGTTAAATCCATGACAGTAATAAAAACGATTCGAATAAAACTGTCGAAATATGTTTTCACGCATACTTTTCGCATTTAGCTCAAGACCGCCACCATCACCACACCTACGATGCCAATTCTGATTTCGATTTGCTCCATTTGAATTCACTGATTTGCGTTTGCCAATCGTCTTTTTTGTCATCGTCGTCGTTGTTGTTGTTGGGTTGAAGAGCGTATTTGGCTCACTGGTTGATCCGCCTTATCGAATAGTTTTGGAATGTGTGTCACTTTGAAATCGGTAATAACAAGCAACGATAATAGCCACAGTCAAAGCGATTATCGATTAATATAGAGGCAATATAGGCTCTGGTGCTATGGGTTTTGGTGCGTGCCTTTTTTTCTACACCGTTTTCACCGAACGACACATGCTCGGTATGTGGATGGATTGGTGTGCAGTTGTTGTGCTGGCCCAAACAACTCCGATACCAGCTGTCTTTTATGCATTTGCCAATCTCTCTGAACTGGTTTTCAAAATAAAATCTTTCAACAGAAAAAAAGCAATTCCTTAATATAGCCGAAGAACATCTGTAACCGGATTATTTATTGAGAATAATTTTTACTCTTTTGCTTGTGCGACGACATCGTTCCAATGAAAAACCAACTGTTTTGCGCGCGCGATTCCTGGCGAAAGGCATTCATTCTTGGCATTCTCTCCCCCCGAATCTTCATCGTCGTCGTTGTCTTCGTTATACACCAATTTTAATCAACTCAGCTCGCAAAAATCTTTCACCGCCGCCGCTGCCAAACACCAGCCATCTCGGCTCATGCACACCGAGAGAACATCTTTCCGTTGTCTTTGCCCAGCTTGCTGCGAGTGTTGTCACACCCGTAAGACTAATGTGTAGCAAATTACGAACAACAATTGATGGCACACCATTAAACTAAGCCCGTTCTACTTTAAACACCATGAAATAAAAACCATATCCATAACGAACTCGAAAAAAGCAGAGAGTTCTTATTCTCTCTCTGCTCAATGCTCTTTGCCAGCAGATCGAGAGACGAGTGTGTTCATTTCTTTTTCGACGTGTGAAAAACTTGCGCCTGTGTGACAATCCGATTGCTAACCGTTCATGAAAACAAGCAGCAACTTTCCACATGAAATTTATGTGATGGCACGAATTCAACGTGCAAAACTTCAGATACGAAGACGATGCGAAACCACAACCGTTCGATAATGTTATCATCGCAAAAATTCCCAGCGGAGATATTTTTGTGTGCCATGGCACAATCGCGCACATCATCATCATTCGTTTCTTTGAGTTGCTCCACCGTGTTGTCGTCGATGCCCCGTGTGTGTGTGTGTGTGTGTGTATGTGTGCATTTCTCTCCCTCTCCCTCTCTATCTTACTTCTCCGTATCATCGTAAGTGATTTGGATTGAAGCAAATAAAAAATCGATTTATAAATTTACTTTGTTCGATGTTCATTCTGGCGATGGCAGAAGAGAGACCGTTCAGAGATTAAAGCAAAACCAAACCAAACCAAACCAAATGAATCGCAATGCTTTGACTTTGCAATAGATTTGGGAATAAGAAAAATGCAGAAGATTAAACAAAACGATATGGAATTAGAAGTTCCAAGTCGAAGTCAATGTGTGGGCAATGCATTGTATGTTGGGCAATCCATGATGATTAGAACAAACGGGCGAATCATTTGATCGCCATTAATGAACTCTAATAGCCGTTTGTTGCACACGAAAAATGCCCCAGAATTGCCATTATTCAGTACAAAACCGCACATTAAACGGAGTCCAGTGTTTCGACTCGAAATGATGGCGTAACATACACAACATAAAATCGCGTAGGTACCGACACATTTTTTGGTTGCCCGATGTAATGCGCGCGCTCTATCTCACTCTCACTCTCACTCTAACACTCTCTCCAAATCGTTCGCTCGCTCGCACTGGATTTGTGTAGTCAGTGTCTGAATTCAATTTTTCATGCGATTAGAGCGCAATTAATTCCGAAATCAAAAAGTAACACAGACGCCAAAACAGCACAAACGCGATCTATTGCTTGCGGTTGTGCTTTTGTACGGGTGTTTAGTATTTTGTATTTGGTAAATACTATTAACGCTGTGTGTTCCAGGCAAACCACTTTAAATTGCTGCCATCGATTAACGTGCTGTACCACACTTGCTCGAATACAGTGCGTTTTTGGTTTAATCGGTGTCGTATCGTGCTTTTTTCCCTTTATTTTGTGTATAAACATTAAATGCTCTCTCGCTCTTGCCCGCTCTCTTTCTTTCGTTCGTTCAATGCCCGTCGTCTTGTACTCAGAATCGCCTCCAAACACTGTACATTACTGGCTAATGATTCGTGTAAATAAGAAATAAGTAGATGTTGTATGTTGTACCTTGTTCTTCTCGTGTTGGCCCCGTCGTGCAAGCATAATATCACGCCTTTTATGTACAGGAACGAAATCATTTGTGTACCGAAACCAATTGCACTTAAAACGCTTAATTGCATCAACGGCCCTGGTTCGATTCCATGGCACAGCGACGACAACAACGACGACGACAACCACGACGACAACGATGGGCAGACGGACACACGCTCGTTCACTTGCTCACACTTAATACGAAAAACAGATAATCATAACCATTTTGGGGCCATTAACGCCTGTTCAGAATATTTACTTTAATTAAAAAGATCGTTTTCAGTAACTACGGCTGGCACCACGACAAAGCGGGCAAACAGACGAAAAACCAAAGACGATCGAAAACGACACGCTGTTTTGATGGAGTTATTCGTTGAGGTTAATCGGATTCGCGCCAACACACATTTTCTTTCTCTCACACTCACACACATATCAACACAAGCAAAACATACTTCGATTCTGTGAACTCATAGTTTTACACATGAAAAGACAGACAGACACGAAACGGGACGCAATACGGCGTATAGTTTGATAAAACTGCGAAACACATAAATTTTTACGATTATTATCATTGCGTACTGGATAACTGTTTTCGAAATTATCGTCATTTCCGCCACTTTTTACCTATTCTTAATCCTTAATTATGAATGTTTCCTTGATACTGTCAGCCGTTTACCATTTTCACGTATCACCATTCGCCATCCGCGCTTCCGTTTGCCGCTACCCACTTCGTCACTACCATTTCTCAATCAAATATAGAGAGCAACGAAAAAAAAACTCTTTCACCACATGAATTTCAATTCGGTTGATAAAAACTAAAACGCTCAATTTTCCACTCTCAACTCCACTGATTTTAAATGTTGTTGATTTTTTTCTTCTTCTTCTTTCGGTTTTCTATCGATCGATTGCCAGATATGCCCCGTTAGATACTGTTGACAGATTGAAAACAGATGTCTGATAAAGCTCAACTTCCATTTAGTGCGGGTAAAATCAAAAATTCAGCATCACTACCGACAGCGGCAGTAGGAGCAGCAGCACCAACAGCAGCAGCAATAACAGCGACAACATCCAGCGATGGTCTTGCATCCCATATCAGACTCTCAACCATCTTTGCGCCGCTTATCGATTTAAATGCCAGCGGCGAACAAACAACAGACTATGACAGCACAACTTTACATTCATTGCAATCGACTATGTCATCGTCGTCATCATCGAATCCGGTGAGTGTCATAGCGAAACATTAGATCGAAACGACTGATTTCGCCAAACTAACTTTTTAAATGGAAAATAAAATTGAACTTTTCCATGTGCCTTTCTTTCTGCCATTCTCTCTTTCTATCTCTCCGTGTGTCTCTCATCCCAGATGAGCTCACATTCCGATAGCTATGGGCAACGACAGGCGATTGCAGCGAATGCTGCGGTACGAAAAATTTCGATGGGTTGTCGTTCGATGCCCACAAGTCCTCGTTTGATGCCAAAGCAGGCGCATTTTTATCGACCGCCTGCATCACCCGTACACAACAGCAAAGGTGGTGATCGATCCAACGGGTATTCAAAGGATTCAAAGGTGGCAATGGCACAGTTCAACGGCAGTGCTGGTGAAGGTAGTAGTGGTAGAAGCAATTCAGGTTTCCATTTTTCGGCGTTGACAGAACATTTGAACGTGCAACAAGTAAACAATTACAAAAATCCGACTGGCATCCGTGAAATCAACTGGGAAGAACGTTGCCTGGAACTGCAGCTTGAATTGCATCGTTCGAAAAATCAGGCCGAACGTATTCGTGGCATGCTCCGTGATAAGGTAGGTGGCAAATGTTACCAAATGAATTTTTTATTCGCACTGTTTGTCTTTCATTCGCTGTCGTTTGCGCTAGTATGGCGCGTTGATTGGCATTTCTCACTTCAGGGTTGAATATATTTGAATATAAATCACCTGATGTTATAGTTTCTACGTGTGTCTATTACGAACCTTCTGTTCGGTCACAATAAAAATGCTAGTAAAACATATTGCAACAAATAGTTTCATCGCCTGGATGAAGTGACAATTTTTTTTTGTTAAGTGCTGCATTGAATTAAACACTAGACTTCCAATGGATTGGTTGGTTTCGTTGTACTGCGCACACCGAATATGCCACGCACTTTCCAAATGCTACCCCTTCGCTCACAGTTTCCATTCCACATACATCAGACGTGTATGTGGAGTGTACATTGCAAGAGCGAATCTCATCGAACGGTGTTTTTGGCTTGTAATGGGATATTCGGCTGGAAGTGAATGTGTTCCACACTTGTTTTTACTCCTTCGCCAGAAAACGGAAAATTGAACGTTTTTTTCCGACTCGCCCCCGTGCACACACAACAAACAGTCAATATTAGTATAACAAGCAAGAAAGACCAGTAACGAACTTAGTTGCTGATGCGCTTCCGACCAAGAATGTGGTGAAACTTCATTTCCTGTGACGAAGTAACGCATAGAAAAAATTGTGTGTGGATTTTTTTGCGATTTTTTTTTTCTTCTTTCGCTCAACAACGCAACACTGGCTTCCTACATTTCCTCCGGCGTATAAATTAAATAACATGAGACGAAATAAATGTGTTTAAGTACAGTGTGTTTTTGATATATTTTTTTTTCTTCTCTCTCTCTCTCTTTATCTGGTGTGTGTTTCTCATCGATAAAAGAAGAAGAAGAAGAAAAAAGGGAATAACAACGAAAACCGTTTTATTCCGTTTTACCCATCGAGGGTAGAAGATGGGCAAACAAACAAAATTAAATTTGTGGCAGTGAATCCTATGTAAATTAATTAAAATTTGTTTACTCTCGTGAGAATGGCAAGCTGCTTTTCGTGTTTTAGATGAATAAACAAACAAACACACCGAACTGAGCATAGCTTAAAATACCGACGAAAAAATTTAAATAGATTTGTAAGAGCGATATTTAATATAGAAAAAAGACACGAACTGGGACACAAAGTGAGGTAAAGCGCAGCGCAAAACAAAACAAAAAACAGCACACAAACCAAAATTAAAGTGGATAGATACTTGAAATACGTGAAAAATATCCACATTTATATTTTTGTGTAGGAATGTGGAGGACTTTATGCTAAACGTGATTTATTGTGACTGCAGGGAAAATAATTGCGTAAAAATCGAAATATTCGTCTCTCTGTCATTGTTCTTTTTTTGTTGCGGAAAGTGATAAAAAAGGTTCCGATCGATTGGAATAGCGTGAAATTTTTATATCTAATAAAATTGGACACCGAATTATTGCTGCTGTAGAGAGAAAAAAAATATACAGACACGATAAAGAGACAGTGAGAGCGAGTGAAGAGAGGCGGAAACGAATGACACAAAAGGACAAAAGCAAAGCGGAAAAAAATAGAATCCCGCAAAAACGGAAATAAATTTTCACGGACACAGAAGCAAACTTCGATAATATGAAAGCCAAATAAAACCTTCAAGAGCAAGTGAATGTGCATGAGAATCGGATGTTGAGCGACATATATTCAGTTTGTGCAACGTTGGCAAAATAGCATAGAATCAAACAACAACAACAAAAAGAACGAAACGGTTTGGCGATTTGCCTTGAGATATGTCAAGCCTCCGATAGAATTTATGCGATTTCGAAACCGTGTGTATGTGTGTTTGGTGAAGCAGTAACAGCAACGACAACAGCAGCAGCATCAGCTCCCCAAAAAGACAAACAAACCGAGAAACCTTCTTGTGTTTATGAATGCTACAAATCAAAACGATTTTGTCGCTTTTATCAAATTATTTGCCATTTGTGTTTTATCGTTATCATCATCGCCATCGTTTGTTGTTTGCGTCCAGATTTCCACTTATTTCAATCAAGGAGTGTATCGTTGGCCGTGCGTCGACCACTCTCATCACCACTACCATCACCATCACAGCCATCGCATTCTTATTTAGTGCACGCGAATTTTCGTGATTCCATCGCCGGGTCATTGCAGCGTTGTCGTCTATTGCAATCGCTGTGTATATTGTATAATTTGTTTGTGTATCGTACAATCATCACGTCGTCCAAATGGATGCCTCACTCTTGTTAACCGTGGAAAATTTGCTCCAGCAAAAGAACAAAAAGAATCTGTTGCGAACGTCGACGGCAACGATTAAAACACCATCATTGTCGTTATCTGCACGCAGTTCGCCCGTTTCAAATAAGCGCCATAAATTCAACATATCGACGGCATCGTTGGCTTCTTATTCAAGCCAAACGAACAATAATTACGCCAACATAATGGATTCACTTGATATGGAATCTCTTGAGGATTTGCTACGAAAGGTTTGTGCGATTAATAATTGTGGCTAAAATGTAGATAGAAAGAGCAGAAGCAATGCCATTTGCATTGAATGCTAGAAATGACACAGTGTGCAGTGTGCGAGTGAAAGGTGAGTGAGTGTATGAATGAATCGAGACTCTGTCTCAAAAACACGCCAGTGTGGCACAAAGGCGTCTGCATGGGAATTTCTACGGAGCAATCGAGTGCATTCGAACGAAAACAAGTGCTTTTAATTTCACGTCATAATGCGCTCTCGAACAATCCACTTGAACCAATTTAATCTTCAAATAAACGCATACACTTGTGATGTTATACTGTCGTTCGTTCGTTCGTTTCAGTCGCTGTCTCGGATCCTATAAACCAGGCTTATTTGATTTTGTATCGGCCATCATGCCACTGGGATATGATGGGATTCGGTGCCTGTATGGCCGTTCAATATGCATATATCTCCGCCTGATTTTATGTGCATCTCCCTCTCTCTCTCTCTCCCTCTCTGTATGTGTGCGTAAAATGGGTTTATTTCGTTCAATGATCGTTGTATTGATTTGATCTGCTTGTTGTTCCGTGCTATTTATTACAGTATTGCAATATTCTTCGTGATGCAAATTTTATGCATTGTCATCGATGGTGCCAGTGCGTCTGGCATATACATTTTTGCACGATTTTATTCATAAATGCTGTTGTTAACGATGCTGTGAATGCAAAATGCCGCCGCTTTACCGAACGCTTTGAATGGATTGTGTGTCGAATTGCGAACGGTACTGAATGCAAACGAAGCCCAAGAGACACCAGTTATTGTTAGTTAGACGAGTCGAATGACCCTAATAAAAGGAATTCCATCTATGACACACACAGAGAGACAGAGAGAGAGCACGAAGCAGAGCACACCAAACCAACCAACAAACAAAATACGAGAGAAAAAAAATCAGCAACAGCAACTCCAACAACAACAACAACAACAACAGAAAATGAAAAACGAGTTTTTGTAGTGGAAATCAAGAGACAGCAAAGTACGTGTTTGCACATCACACGAATTCGTGAGCTAATTTCGCAGTGGATTTTCCTTTCAGTTAGCTGATTTACAGCAACCTGCATTCATAATGTGGTTTTACCCGAACACAATACGTGTGTGTGTCTGTGTATGTCGCATTGCGTTCGGTTTGTTCGACAGTAGTATGTTTTTTTCTCTATATATTTCGTTCGTTCTTACCTCATAATCGGTTCATGTGTACTTGCGTGTTATGACTGACTTACTTTACTCTTTTCTGTCGTTCTCTCAATGCAATACGACCGGCGATAACGTCGAACCGAAATGAATGTTGCTAATATGTGTCGATAAAACCGAGATTTTCTTTAACACATCGTTTTTAGTTTTCCTCCTTCAATTGGCTCTCTCGTTCTCTGCTTCGTTTTCTTCTTCCTCCTCTACCTCTTCAGTTTGCCTCGTTCAGTTCAGTTTCATTCATTCGGTCCGGAATCGGTTGGCCGTAGCCCGTGATTCTGTCGAGCTTTAGATTTACACGATTTCTCAACGGATCGTCATAAAATTGCAACGTGCCACACTGGATTTCTCCCCCGATCCATGTTAACGATTAACGATTATATTGTGGCTTTTCGTTTCATTGGCCCATGCCAAAAATCGGAATCAATGAACACAACCATTTCAAGGCAATAGTCGTTTGGTGTGAAAAGAGGAAAACTCTTTTATTTTGTTCGCACCAAAATTCGGTCATGCCGTCGTCGTCGTCGTCGTCTATCGTCATCGTCGTTTTTGTGTACGTGTGCATTTCCATTTTTATATATAAATACGTCCCATTTCGTTACAACGAAAACGATACAGACCAAGTCCATAAAGTGTGTTTAATTTTTCTCATGTGTTGCAACATGCCAATGAATTTCATACAAGTGTTCTGCTTTCGATACATTTATTTCTATTTTCGAAAGTAAAATCAATTTAACCAAAGGTTTGTCGCCTTTTCCACTTTACAAATGCACGGGATAGAGATGGAGAGTCAGCAAGTGGTCGAGAGAAAGAAAGAGCTCCGAATAGGCATGGTCGCTCGTTTGCTCGTTAGCTCGCTTCATGTGCATGTGTGAAAGAGAGATGAAGAATGAGTTTTATTGGTGCCATTGTTCATAGCCACTTTGTGTACACTTTGTAAGGACAATGCTTCGCATATATCAATTCGAAGATAAATTCAATTTCACACAGGCGAAATAAAAGTGGCGGAAAAACGTTGCACGTAAACAGCAAACGGTGAAATGTAATAAAATCCGTTTTTATGGTTCGTGTTCGCCTGTTGAAAAATGCCAAAACTCATTCTCTTTCTCTCTCTGTCTGTGTGTCTACGTTTATCGAGCACGTAATTCGATTTTAATTGGATTCTGAAGCCTTATCTCAACTCCAAATTGCTCCTTCTCCCGTAAAATCGAACATAAATCATGCGACATATTTGTGTGTTTTTGTCGTTTTCATCATTTGTGATTGACTTAAATCCGACATTAC